CAAGTGTAACATTACACAAAATTGTGTAACTTTAATTAACTTAAAAACTACTGCATAGAATTTTGCAAACTTTTTTTTATTTAAAAATTTTAGATTTAAATAATAATTTGTATAATTTTTAGAACTATATTTTATTTATTTAGCTCAATATAAAATTTTGAAAAGTGTCCACAATAATATGGTACCCCCCTGTATATATCAATTTATTGATTCTGATAATGTGATTATTCGACAAGTCATCTCTGGTCACAATAATCAATATTACACTCTTTCTCCTAATGGCAAGCATTTACTATTAATGTGATATATGGTATTTTTAATCCTAACCAACAATATTATGTACAAATTGATTACAATTTGTAAGAAGTTGATTGTTTAAAGAACCTATCCCGGGTGCTCAATCTCGTACTTAGCAATTTTACACAGATTTATTAGTGTTAAAATATTTATATTCTATATTAATAAAAATCTGATATATTTTGACTCTAATTGTCTTCAATGTTATCCCAGCTACTTCAGTTCGCATAAGAACTTATTTTCTTGTATATGAAGTAGCTACTTAGACATCTGGAATAGTACTTGATCAAAGTTAAAACCTTGAAATAGGATTTTGCATACATTAGTATTGCAACAATTATTAGTTTATATTCATTTTGAATTTACTTTTAGTAAGCGCACAAGTACTGCTGTGTCTAACATTAGATGGAACCCAAGTGTTTCATCAGTGATAAATAAACTTTTTTTGCATCTTTAAAAAATGAACTTTCACATGTGATAATAGAAAAATTAAGTTTGGTTGAAGATTCTCAAATTGTAAATAGCAAGTCATCTTTGGAACAATCTCAATTTTTGCTTACTGTTAGTTTTTCAGATAATAATACAGAAAAATGTGATTCTTTAATTATTATAACTCAATATTCATTGATTAAAATAAAAATGTAACTATGATCTTTGCTGGGAAATTACAAGATACTTAGATTAACATTATGAATATATAGTACCTGGTAAGCAAACATATTTGAGTTTATTATAGATTGTTAAATTACGAATGCATTATATAAGTTTAGCTAATCTACTACATATAAGTATATTAAAACATAATTGTATCATATCATAGTTACTGCATGGAATATATATAGTGTACAAATAATTTCTGGGATTATGATATTTATAATATCATATTTATTGTCTTATATGTACTTGATAACTGATTATCATCAGGATATAATACGAAGCCCATGCCGCTTTGTGGCATGAGCTCCGTATTATAAATCCTGATGATAATCAGATTTATCAGCTGCAATTTAACTGATAACTTGGTTATCCGATGCTTCTGACATAAATACTGACCTTTTTCATATAAATACAATTAATTTTTAATTACAATTACACTTTCGCTTATTTTTTTTTTCCTACATGCTTCTTTTTTTTTTACTCGATGTTTTTTTTTAAAAAAACTTCAAAATATGTATTTTAACCAAGCCTTACAACCTCCAACACAAATGATATAAATCAATTATAAGAAGCTTCACTTGAACAAATACAGAAAGAAATATGACACAGTGGCTAAGAACATTGGATCTGTTCAATAAAAATCGTGAAAAAATTCAAACTATAGAACTCATTGATAGTATTGAAGAGCTTGAAATTACCTGTATCAATTTATTATCTGGTTAAAAAAAGCTTATGGATCAGATTATAAAGTCAGTCTTTTCATAATTATTATAGTGCTATCAATCATTACCTTAAAGAGCATAGTGTTCTTCAGTTAGTAAAAATTTGGGACTGTTACTAATTTCTTCATATGCTTGATAGTAAAATGAGAATTTTTCAAATTAAAGGTTTAGGTAATCCAAAGAATTCTGATAGTTTATCTTTGGAAGAAATTGAGCAAATACTCAACTATCTATATATGAATAACAATTCTAATGAATCACTACGTCAGTGTATCTTTTTTTAGTTGTGTTTGCTATGTGGACTATAATGTAATGATGCATATTTAATTAATAGGCAAGATCTTTAATGGCATCATGATAGTGGATTTGAACTTACATTAAACAATGAAAAAAATAATTAGAGAGGTACTTTTTATCAAAATAAGCATGGAAAAACAGAATCTCACCATATTTCAATACCTCCTGATTCACTTAATAATACTTATACTCCAATTAGAGATATTCTTCTTTATTTATCTAAATTACATGATTTATTATTTTTACAATATCTATTGTTTTATAAAACTTTTAAAAGTCAAAAAGGTAAATATTATCATTATATATGCATAATTGTTTAATTTTTAATAATGCTATTTTTTATGTTAAACTTAATTAAGAGTTGCTAGTACAAAAGTAATTGAATAGGTTATATGAAACTTAGAAAGATGATAAATGATATTGCATTAAATATTGAAATTAATCTTAATAATAATTAGTCAATTACTAATTACTCCTGTTATCATACAGCAATTCAACTATTAAAAAATAATGAGTATCTAAATCAGATCTTCAGATATTCTCTAGTCATCTTTCATGGGAGAGTTTGGCAAATTATTGTCAAACTAGTGATAGATGAATATGCAATATTAATCTTATATTCATCTCAAGAATTAAACTTGAATGAATATGAATTTGATAATATATATATCAGTTCTTTGGATGAAGAATTAAATGAATACAACGGTAAGCTAAGAATTTAAGTAAATAATTAGGAATTGTAATTTTTTTTATTTAATTAATAATAAAAATTCTAAATGCAAATTTTTAATTTAATTTATATAAAAGTTCAACCACAAATTTTAACTATCTATAATGCTCAAGAAAATCAATTTATATCTGATGCTCAAGAAATTAAGACACAAGAATCATTTAACATGTTAATTTAGAAAAGTTCAAATGTGATACAAGAAATTCAATTAACAGCCTCCGAACAATACTATTGCAACATCTGATTTTATAACAAAAAATATTCAAAAGTGTATATTAAATATATTGGCAATTTTTTTTAAATTTATAATTTATTAACTACAACTTTTATATTTGTTTATATATACATATATCTATATATAGCTTATGTTCTAAGAATACCTAAGTTAAAATACTATACCAAAGCAGGCCCATATTCCACCATTTAAACCACCTTACCATCCTGATTTTTACTCTATTCATCTTATAGAAAACATAGAGAACCATTATCAAATATTGATAACATTGTCATATAGCTTCTTCTGGATACTTCTCAAAGTATTGAGCTAAAAATAAATTTGAAAATAAATTAGATTTCATTTAATATATTTTCAAATTACTGAATAAATTCAAATGTATCTAGCTTATTAAGGATTTGCTTGCTGCTCAAATATAAAGTACTAAAAATTTGTATATTTTCAATTATAAGTAAGTGAAATTTGTATATTAGTAATTATAAAGTAATAAATAATATATGTGAAAAACATCAGGTACTTATATAAGAAGTGTCAGATAAAATTTGATATAAGATTAATTTGTTTTGGCAAATATTTTATTAAGAGGTTTTTAATCTGATATTAATATAATTTTTGCTTAAACAAGTTAAAATTGAAAAACTTTTGTGCAATAGGTTCACTTGCCAAAATATTTTCAGTCAAATAAATTTTTATTTCTATTAGCAAACCAATATTATAGCTTTTATTTTTCAAAAATTTGATTTGAAGCATATTTTTTTTGAGTGCTCTATTGTTCATCAACTTCCTTATAGCAGTATACACTATTTATAAAGGAATTAAAACCCCAAAATTTTCAAACAATAGGTTAATGAATATTGAGGTTTAGTTGTTATATTATTTATTTTTGTAACAACAGATTATGAATATTTAATGATTTTAAAGAATGCAACTATGTTTACTAAAGTATCATACAGATTCAAACAAATTAATTTATTTGATATGCTCAAGTATATATAATTATGTGGAGGATATTCTTTGAATTTTTTAAGAATTACTTTACAGATCGTTATTCAATTTTAGATATTACTCTAGGCCCATTTTCATTGAATAAGATGTTGAGCAGCACTTGCAATGTTGTTTGTCACCAGTTTTAACTAGTTTATCCCAGAAAGGATCCTTCTTAAATCATTTTGGTATATGATTTATTTCTTTAAGTGTACTTGATGCAAATTCAGCTTGAAATATTGAACTTGGAGAGGAGGTATATTCAGTTGTATTAATAAATTGATTGGGTGTAGTTTTTTCACTCATTGTAAAAAGTTCAAATAAAAAAAATAAAAAAATAAATACCATAAATTTATAAATAAAAAAAAATTAAAACATCAAAAGAAGTAAGACTAAAAATTAAATAAATTATATTGAAATATTTTCGTCATTATCATGTAAAGAAAGTAGCTATTAAATTAAATAAATCAATCAAAATATTTCGTCATTATCACGTAAAGGAAGTACCCTTTAATTAAATTAAATAAATTATATCAAAGTATTTTCGTCATTATCATGTAAAGGAAGTAGCCTTTATATTAAATAAATCATATCGGCATATTTTTGTCATTATCATGTAAAGGAAGTCGCGTTTAATTAAATTAAATAATCGTATCGACACATTTTCGTCATTATTATGTAAAGGAAGTAGCCTTTAATTAAATTAAATAAATAATATAGACCTATCATGTCACAAAAAAAAGGTCAATTACAAATCAAGAAACATTTGCTCATCAAATCGATTTCAGACTCGATTTGAGCACGATGAGTTTAAATGAAATAGTCAAAATCACGTGACCGCAAAACTCATGTTTAACCAGTTCAGGTTTCAAACAGGGCCAAACTGAGTTTGGTCGAACAGGATAACATCCCTAGTTATAACACTTATCCGGCCTAGTGTAAATTAAGGTGGATCAGTGATGGCAAAAAACGATCCTCGGTACCGTGACTTCCGAGCAATTTTTAAAGTTCTGTAGATTATGAGATTTTGGAGGATTCGCAGTGAAAGCTATAGCTTAATTTTATGTGTAATATTCTGAGTTTTATTTGATATATATTTTGCTCGGAAATCACGGGACCGAGGATCGTTTTTTGCCACCACTGATCCGCCTTGTAAATTATGCGATCCTCCAAGAATGATTCAAAAAATAAAAATGGTGATAAGAATATTCATGACTGCATTAGGGAATTTTGACTTAAAGCTACAGTATTTGAAAAAGTGATTGAGTGAATTCAATTTGATAGACTGGAAAATATAAAAATTATTGGTAAAGGAGTGTTTGGTACATTATATTCAGCAATTTGGTTAGATGGTAAAAGAACGGTTGAAGGTGATAATGGTGTGGGTTATGTACAATTTCGTAGCAAATCCTGTGAAATTGCTCTTAAAACATTGCCTGGTTCTCAGACGAATTCTTCCAGCTTTTTAACTGAGGTAAGATAAATTACTTACAGTATTGTAAATCTATTGCATATAATATAATTTTATAAAGTTTTAATCATATATTTACTCAAGTTTAAAAATCACATACAATTTAGACTGGAGGGCAGTGAGCTTAAAGTATACGGATTGACTCAAAATACAGAAACTAGCCAATATTTGATGGTATACCAATATGCCAATAGAGGGAATCTTCATGACTTTTAACTAAATATTTTAGAGAACTTGTATGGCAAAAAAAAAATTAAAACAACTTGCAGACGTATCTTATGGATTGTCTCAAATCCATAAAACAGGATTTATTTATAATGATTTTCACAGTGGTAATATTTTATTGAACCAAAAATATCGATGGAATTATAATTCATACATTACAGATCTAGGATTATCTATAAACAAAACGAAGATGATTCAGAAGAAGGTATTTATGGAGTAATGCCATATGTTGCACCAGAAATTCTTAAGGGTGAAAAACATACACAAGAAGATGTTTATGTATTAGGAGTTATTTTGGCAGAAATATCAACGGAAAAGGACCTTATGATGAATCTAAGTACGATACCAAACTTGCATTAGCTATTTACCGTGGATTACGTCCAGAATTTACTGACGGAACGTCTGATTGCTACATTGAATTAGCCAATCAATGCATGGATTCAAATCTGGCCTACAGCTGAATTTGTTCATTCAAAAGTTGTTCAATGGAAAACGATTATAGAATCAGATAATTTAACAGATGTAAACCAACTAGACATAAAGAAGAATTTCATGAATGCTGAAAGTATAATCAAAGAAACATCACTAAGAACCTTATCAATGTCTCAAAATAAATACTGCAGCACACGAATTGATGTACAAGAAATAATAAATACTCTTAAAGGTACTAATTGGACTGAAGATATTTTTCATTGCGACATTCAATTAATCATAAATTTATTTATTTTTTAGCGTTTACAATTTAGTCATTTTACGGTGGATAGTTGCAAGTTCAACTCTTGAACTCCCATCTAACATTAGTGACTTTTTAAGATAAACTCAATTTTCAGAATAATGCCCACAATAAATATCTAATAAATTAATTTTTTTTTTTTATTGGCGGCTTGCCCATATTTCTATTATTATTAAAATTTTTAAATTTCAGCTGTCCAGCTCACATTTCTGCTATTGTTAAAATTTTAAATTTCAGCTGTCCAGCTCACATTTCTGCTATTATAAAAATTTAAACTTCAGCCTAGCTCACACAAACCTCTATAGTTTTCTAGATTTTTCATTTTTATAATATAATTTCTGAACAGATTTTTACCACCTAGAATACGTGTATTTAGCGCTTTTCAATTTACTATGATCATTAGATCGATCGACTATTACACGGAAATCCCTAAATTTAAAGCTTTTTGTGAGAATAAATCTAAATTTCTTGCTAATAAATAAAATTCCCAAAATTCTCTTCTACTGTCGCATTTTCAATACAGTACTATCAAGTAATATTCAGCTGAATAATAAATTCGTTATTCGTATAGTATCAAGTGTGCAGCTGCCAAAAATTATAATTTTTTTCTGTGGTTTTCAGCTTCGCTTCGCACTGCTTCATCGTCACACTCTAATGTCATGGGATAAAAGCGGCATTTCTGAAAATCAAGGCTTGGAGTGCACTAAAGATATAATGTTAAGATTTTCATACAATTTAGATAAAGTCCGCTTGTGCACTATAAAATATAAAATTTATTTACCTTTCTGCATCTCAACGGTTCTTAATAATCACTTATTAGTATGTCTTCGTGTTTTATGATTTACATTTATAATGATTCAACTTTTTTGCTTGTCTTTCGCGATTTTAACGATCAACAAATATCAGTTTATCTATCTACAGGTTCATAAACTAAGCTCGTATGCTCGCTAATAAATATTCCGGAATCCGACACACCTACTATGGCTCAGTATGACCCAAGATCGTATTTATTGCAGTTATCGAATTTATTGAATTTATCAATATGTTAGATAAATTAGCTTTACAGCATAAATTAGATTTAAGGCATTTATGCCATAGTTGTAATACTGAGCCATATATTCTAAATAAAGCCGTGAAGATCCTTGGTAAATAAGTTTCGTGCTGCTTACAATTATTGTCCCTAATAAAGAATATCTCTTAAACCATATACCCTTTAATTACCTAAATACATACATCTTAATAAATACTCAACCCCAGATAAATCACTAAGTGGCATAGTGAAATCCCTACGTTCGCATAATCGTCTTGCTCACGTGACTCCGTACACGATTGTTGTCCGGTTGATTTTCGACGTACTGAGGTTAACTATGGTTGTTGTTTTCCAACTCTCCCAACGTACTATTGATAGCTGTAGTGATTGTTTTATTCCGGTTTAAGGTGGTCCAAGTCGTGGTTTTATTGTGTCAATTGTGGATAAGTAATAGTTATTTCCTGGGCAGTTGGGTATAAGCGGGGCTGAAAGTCCCGCTTATCACATAGTGCCCAGGACATAACTGATTTATGCCCTGCGATCTTGATATAGTGACCAGGGTATAATGAAGAGTTATTGTGTAATATTTGGTCCTTATACAGTAAAGGAAGTCATACCTACGACCTAAATAACCATTCGCCAAATATACAAAAAGATTTTTGAAACTATTATTTTTTCTGAAGTACGTTATTTTTTCTTTATTCTGAAAACCCTTAATATAATATATAAACAATTTGGAGTTAAAGATGCAGTAGAAATTTCAAGGAATAAATTATTACAGTCTGGCGTATTTTTTTCAGTTATCGCTGTTTTCAATGGATATGGTTGTAAATGGCCAATACTTGAATACTCGATTACATATTTGGCACAATAATAACAATGAGCAAAATTAATGTACGTTAGTAATTGTTATTATTGCGCTAATGTAATTGAGTATTCGAGTATTCGCGATATTCACAAAAATTTTTTTGCTTGTTATTTTCAACCATTTTGAAAACAGCGATAATATGTGGATTTTCTAGGGCTCGAGCCGGCTCATGCGAAATGTGACAAAATCGAATTTATTACCTGACAACTTCGAATTAATCTAATATGATCGAATTTATTAGGTGACAACTTCGAATTTTTATGATAAAAAACGAATTTATCACGCGACAATTCAATTTTAGCACGTTGGCTCTGAGCCAGCTCAAAAGCCATGACCGGCAGGATTTTTTCAGGAAATAAAGCAAAAGAAGCATAAGCTTTTAATTTTGATTGTTCGGAGGAATTTAAATTGCTACGTAACATTTTAGGGGTATGATGGCAAGGAGATGCGCATAATTATAGTTGAAACAATAGAAAATACAGAACAGTGAAGAAAATTCGATATTGTTATCTTGATATATTTAAATATAGACCAATAGATTGATAATTACAGTAGTATACTAGATGATGAAACCTATCATTGAACGATGGGTCCTGTGATGCTATACGCATGAAAAATTAAAAAATTATTAAATTATTAGTATATAGAATGCTTATTGTCACAGTTTGATACTGAAACTTGAAGTAAATAATAAGCAATAACGATAAACATGCAAAAAAATAATGTTATTAAAACTATTCAAATGCGATGGATCCAAATTGCAATTATTAACCATGGCAATTATTGATTTTTAATTATCAATGATCGCAAGCAAAATATTTTGTTTGCTATCCCTTAGGTATAATTTTACACTTTACGTATACGTTTTAGTAGATATCGATTAGACTATTCTATTTGTATAGATGTGGCAATTCATCAATTGTTTACTAATTTAAACACTCTGTATGACACAATTGCTAGTGTTGTTAGTCAACTAAATCAACGACCAGTCATCAGCTTATAATAATAAATATGCTGCATATTTTTACATATATCATTGTTTATAAGTATGATATTAATCAATGACTAAGCCGGCAAATAACATTAACAGTTGCACATATTGGGAGCAAAATATAAAGTGTGCGTACGTACGTGCCGTTTACTTTTCTGAAATTTCTATTTTCAATATCTTGCAATACACGTATCCCATTTACACAACGATCTAATTGACACAAGTTATTTAATCGACACAAATAATCTAATTAACTCAACGAAGTATACTTCTCATGGCATCAAAAATATTTATGGGCGACATGCCCGAATTACTGGAGATCATTTTGAACAATCTAGATGAAGAAATTCGGTCTTTATATTCATGTGCGCTTGTGAGCCGCTTTTGGAGCAAGATATCTATTCCTATTCTTTGGAGAGATCCATTTTCAATATGTTTACCAACATCGTTTATATCTAGATACTTTTCATCACTCAATGAGCATGACATTTTTATATTAAATGAATGTGGAATTGTTGTAGAATTTCCAAATACTCTATTTCCTTATGCAAAATTTTTAAAAGTTTTGAACTTATCTGATTTAGATTTAGCAGTAGCTGATTGGATCGGTGATTTGAGTATTAATTTGCGAAATGATATTAAGATAGTAAAATATAATTTGGCTAATTTATTATTTAAATTGTTTATCGAAAGAGGTGCATCATTAACTAAATTTTATTTACACATATCCGATAATTATAATGATGATACCTTTGAGATTAAGCCAGAGATATTTTACTCATTAGGACGAAATGAAGGTTTTTTCTTTCAACTTCAAAATTTAACTGTCGATGTACAAATTAATCCATGCCCCCAAAATGCTATTACATTATTAAAAATCTTGGATGACAATGCAAAGAAAATTAATACGTTAAAATTCTTAGAGGTTTATGATGATGAGCCACAGCTACTTCACTCTCTCACCTGCGTTATTAAATCTCAAGAAAAAATTAGACGTATCAACTTGCAATATAATTCTGGACACATCATTTCAGCCCTGAAATGTCATCAAAGTTCATTAAGTGAAATTATAATGGATAGTTGCGATTTTTCTTATGCTGGTTTTAATGAATTAATGAATTTTAAAAATTTGAAAGTTATTCGTATCTATCATGGTAATGATACAAATAGATTATTAAATATATTAGACAATGGTCTGTGTAGGATTAACACTCTAGAAATTCGTGTTTATTCAATTAATGTATCGAATATGTTGCAAATGCTACGAAGGTCAGGCTCATTATTACAACGATTAGGACTTTCTTCGGAGCAAAAAGAAATTCTTTCATCACCTTTATTATTAGGAGTACTTACATCATTTTGCCCAAACATCACTTATCTTGACTTATCTATTATTAAACTTTCTGATCAATTCCTGACTTTTATTAGTTGTTTACAGAAACTTCAATTTATGACATTACATTGGATTGGAGATGAATCAGAAGAAGAAATGAAAATAAGTGTTATAGCGTTTGCTAGAATATTGCCAATATCATTACATTATCTTAATTTACATAATAGATGGGACAATTCAAACCTATACATTGATGTTCTTCTTAATCATTGCAATGCTCCTTTAAAAAAATTATTGTTGAAAATTGACTATGGTGATCAAACCTTGACGGATGCATTAATTAGATTTTGTATAAGAAAGAAAACTTTGGATATGGTATATATATATAACTTATCCCCATATGACGCTAATTGGGCTAGATTTGTAATGGATTTAGGAGGATATGTTGAATTGGTACCTTTTGAATTTATTTACGTTGCTTGTTGATTGATATTTTTCAAGGATAAATTTGTTATTCTTCACTTCTATAGTTTGAAATTATAATAATTGTAGTTTAATGCAAATTATATTATTAGTAATTTTTGATCAATTCGTAAATCGAATTTTTATTTTCCATTACTGTCAACGCATAGATTTATTTTCATTTGTTATAATATGAATAATTATACATAATATATTATTATTACAATTTTATAGTCAGTAAAATTAATTATAGAATTTAATATAAAACCTTACTGTAAACCAATCATCTATTATTGTCAATAAAATTTGTCTTAAGTGTACAATATAAAAATTCCGAGTATTGCTTTAATGTTATTGTACAATCTAAATCTATATATCTGATATGCCTAGGTACGTGACTAACATGACGGCTAACAATAAAGCAACAAAGGATATGATTATCATATTGGTTTAAGAATCACGGTATTTTTTTAACTATAAAAATAAGACTGTATTTTTTTAACTATAAAAATAAGACTATTATAATCTCTTTCCGATATCAATAATTTATACTAATATAATTACTTTTCAACATAGTAACATTCTACATCTAATTTAATTTCAATTGATTTCAATTCGGATAGATCTATTTCAGATGGTTCCAACATAGAATCACCGATTTTACAATCATCAAGCTTAATTCTCCATCGGCTAAATGGCGTTGGAACAAAATAGATATCTGATCTAAATGACAAATCTGTTAATATTTCATTAGGTACTTTATACTTAAACGCTTGACCTTTTCTATATCTTGATTTAAAATGATAAATTTTCCCTTCATATCTATCATAATATGTGTCTGTATTGCTAATAAAAAAAGAGATTTCATCATCTTTGGACCCAACACCCTCAAGAAATACTCTAAAATTAATAAGTCGAACACGCTCACATCGTCGAAATTTTGGATGATCTATTGGAATTTCGTAAGTAATAAATCTATTTTTCATAAATTTTTTGGTATAATTTGTAGGAACATCAATTGATACCATCGAAGTTTGAGGTAAATTTCCAAATTTAAAGTATGCGCTTTCTAATTCTTTATAAATTATATTTTTATCTTGTATGAGTTTTTCGGTAGTTTTTTTAACAGAAAGTTCAACATCAGATTCAGAAAGAGACCAATATTTGTATGCACATTTGTAATTTTCTAAGTATGTCAACATCCAACATTTAACATTAATTAAGCATTCAAATAGTAAGAATGCACATTCGTCATAATAATCTTCTTTTAATTCGTAATCTTCAATCATCTTGCTGAGTCTCTCTTCTTTTCTTTTGAGCATTTTTACCTGCAATCTGATTCGCGAATACTCTTTACAACTTTTTGCCTCGTCATTTTTTGCTGCAATGTATGCGTTAATATAGTTAAATAAATTTTCTATTGAATATTTATATTCGATTGCACCTTTAATCTTCTGATCAATTGGCTAATACAAAGAAGTGTTTTTTTTTAAGATCTTTATTTGTAAAAATACGTATTATACATATTTGAATGAATTTTTACTCACATAATTAAGTAATTTCATTATACCGCTCTTGGTTGATTTCCAGTCAGCTTTCATTTTTATTCCTTTTCGATCTTCTGTTTTAAGCCTATAAATTTATCAAATTTATTAAAAGGTTTCCTTTTAGTAATTTTAATTAAAGATTAACTTACATTTGTGCAAGTTCCTTAACATTCAAAGCTTCTAAACTTTTTTGCTCTGTTATTATATTATTATTCAGATCTTCAGCGATATTGTAATTGCCTATTAAATCTTTATTAATTTGGGTAATTTTTTGAATTTTTTCTTTTATAAATTTGTTTTTCGTAACAAACTTTTCTACTTTGTCTGTAGTCCCAAAAATTTTGTTTAGTTCATCTGTAGTATTAAGAGCACCTTGAATCGAAATAGATGTCTTTTCTATAGTTTTAATAATGTCTACTATGCCATCAGGTCTGATAACAATTGTACCAACGCGTACTGCCAAGGTAAAAACCGCTATTAATAATTCTTTTTGTGCTTCATGCATTTTTTCTTGCTTCCATTCTTCAATCCCATCTTTGAAGACTTTGCATGCGCTGCTTACGTGATTTTTCTTATCCTGTCATTAATAAAATGATCATGTTATTACACTTTTAAAAATTGAAAATAATAAAAAAAAAATTATAAATTGATCATCATACCTCTAAGTCATCTTCTATTTTTTTCGTTAATTCTAATGCTGAAAAATAACGACCGCGTTCAATTTCTTCCAAGTGTTTGCTTAAAGCGGTTTCATCATTATAATTTTCTAACGATACTTTAGATTCAGTTTTCTTTTGAGCAACAGCATCCCTTTTAGTTAAAAATTGCGTATATTTTTTTTCATAATATCCTACTGATTTCATAAATTCATCGATTCCTTTCTTATAGAATTTTTTATCCAATAATGGAATAAATGAAACTTCACTTTTCCTTCTTTCTTCAGAGATATCCAATTGTACAATTATCGAAAGTGCTTGATGATGCAGATCGTCAGATTGTTGATCGTCAGACTCGTCAGATTGTGATTCGGTTATTTTGCATATCCAAGAGAGAATTGATCGTGTAATTTCAGGTTCATCATAAAATAAGACACTGGCAATAAATAAAGAGTATCGTACCATTTTAAGGAATGAATGATTATTAAGAATAATATTATCAAAGATGCGTAGATCCTTTTCTTCAGATTTCTCGGCATCACCTATAGTAAGTGATTTACCAAAGGTTTTATTATCTTTTGAAATGTCGGCATCGAATTTTAATAAATTTTTTTTATTATTTAGTTGATTTATTGCGACAATTTCAAGTTCCGAAGTCATTTCTTTAGCGTATATAACTGTTCGGAAATATTTCTTGTAATTAACAGTTATTTTACATCCTTGTTTAATTTCAATTCGCCTTGCTGCTATCAAAATAACACCACCTTCATTCAAGGGTGGAATTGTTAAATCTCTTGATAGTTGAATTATGTTGCCATAGATTCTGAAGATTCGGGCTTTAGGCTTGATGTCGGACCTTGAAAAAAGTTCGTTAAGGTCGACTATCAAATTACTATTGAAGATCTCAAAATGCGAATAAATTTTCAAGATTAATTTTTATAAAAATCATTTTTAAAACATTTATCACGTAAGCAATATACAAATAATTTTTAAAAATTAAAATATAAAGCATTTATCACGTAAGCAATATACAAATGAAAAATATTTCAACGTCATGGAAATTTATGTATTGCTTTTTTAAATAAACTCTTAATACTAATGCAAGCATTTCACAATAAATACCTCGAAATTCGTCAACTGTAATTCTTGCTTCAATGATGGTACTTTAAAAATTTCTAACAAATAATCATATGTTTTTTTTAAATTGTCCCGTTGTGAAGTGTTATTAGATTCAGTCATTGTAGTTTATGAAAATGTTTCTTTTTTCTTACGACGTAAAGGTTCAAGATCTTGCAGTGAAGTATAAATAAACTTCAAAATTTATTACGATAAACTATAATACGTAATTCATTTACTGAATCTCATGCAGATCCTGCAGTTTCGCCAAATGCACATTACGTAAGCTCGTACAGTACAGTACATACCCGAAGTTACATAACAGATAAATGATATTTTACAGTGAATAACTTTTTTTTCAATGAATCATTTGAAGTGATTTTACCACCAAAATGACCGCCTCGTCGAGACGGTCATTTTGGTGGTAATATCACTCCAAACGATTCATTAAACAAAAAGTTATCCACTGTAAAACATCTTACCATTTTTAGCAAATCCGCTCACATGTACATATTAGTCAATATTGCGTACCTTATAAAGACAAAATAATAGCATTGAAATCCCAAATTAGCAACATCAATAAAGTAACTTTTATTGAAGTCGATAATTTAAGAAATAAGATTATCTGCTTGGCATAATCTGTAACCTATAATCAAGTTCCACATTAAAGTTAAATTATCGACGTGAATAAGGTGTAATTTTGATTTTTAAGTACCTTGCATCGTACATACGTATAAATAAGGATCGCAATCCTCATAATATACTGTGGTTTACGATCAAATCACAACAAACTATTTTCTCAATATGAATAAGAATTACGATTTTTTTTTAAGAAGTATGATACATTTGTACCTCTTGTGGCTTAAGTGAACTATACTAACGCTAACATATTTTAACTTAGTTGGCGTGGATGGTAAAAAAGGTGTTGGCAAATCCTATATTATCAGCAAATTTGTAAAAGATGATTTTAAAATTGGTGTATATGAAGAAAGTTTACGTGCATATGTCACAACCACGCACATTCAGTTAGACAATTACACCATTAAAGTGGAATTTCTGGAAATCGGTATTAATAATTTGTATTTTATTATTTGTTTGATTTAGGTCTTAGACATTAGAACCACTTTCATGCCTGAATAGTAGTGATATGGGCCGATGAAAAAATCCCGGGTCAGGGCCGGCTCGGGCTGACCAGGATTGACCCTTTTATGAATTATCTTAAATAATTCTGAAAGATACTCAACCTTTTTCACTCTTTAAACATCGATTGAAAGTTATCCAGATTTAAATTTTTTTGACCATAATAAGAGATTTGCATTCGATGTTGTCTTATTGTCTGCATTCCGAAGACATCCGGCCGATATTTTCCGGACCGGCCCTTATCATTACCGAATAGCCTAGCATTAATAACTATTATTATCGTTGTTAATTATTAATTATTATTTGATGTTTCTTTTTTTTTGTCGCTTCGTAGGAGATCTCAGGCCAAATAAAAAGTGAGCTTTTAAAATTTCATCTTTAATTCTAACATATTATGCTTTTTATGTGATTAACATGTAAATATTTTAGTTATTATAGTTATATTGACGGTGCTATACTTGTTTACGATGTTGCTCGATATAAAAGCAAAATAAAAATAAAGGAATTATTACTTGATGAATATAGTAGCTATATCAATAATAAAATTCCTATTATGATCGTTGCCACTGAATGTAAAAATAAAATTAGAGAAGATCTTCTAGAAGATAAAAATTTTTTTGGTAATCAACGTCAATAATTTGTTATCAAATTATAATTTTTTTCTAATATCTCCGCCTGAATTAAAATTTTAGGAGAAGAGTTTTTATTTAATGCAATTTCAATTAAAGAGAAAACTAGCATTAATATCGATAAAATCCTAAAAGGTATTTCGGATTATTAATTCAAGAATAGTAAAATTAATTATTAATCTACATTATTTATCAATTTAGATTGCATATCTAGACTTTCTGATTTTAAAGGCAAATTTTGCAAAATTAAGTATTGACTTTTTTTCTTAGCAATAGCTTATCATTACATTTCTATATTTTTTCATTATTTAGAAATAAAAGATTTGAATGAATTAACCTCTCCAAGCAACCAATTTAAGTTAATGATGGAACATGCGACACAATTATATTTGTGTGAGATTCCAAATCCTATTAATGATATGCAACGACAAGTAGAAACATCGGTATTGCGTGATGGAATAAAGGGAATAAAATCATTTTTATCATTGGTATGTATTTAGATGTAAAAATTTAATTTGCATTATTTATATAATTATATAAAACGTTCTCTCATTAATTGCTGAATTGTATAAATTACTAAATTTAGAAAGTGAGTATATAAACTTCGATAATATTCATCTGTTAAATCAAGATTTTATAATAAATGTAAAACGTATTAATTATCTACCATAAAATTACTAGGCAGTGAGCATAATTTTTAAATTTTATTAAAATTAGAGTTTTTGTTATAATTAATAAATATTCAATTATGTGAATTATCAGATCGTGAGTATAAATTTCAAATAATATTCATAGTAAATTAACCAGTTCTCTAAAAAAAAATAAATTAATTAAATTATAGGACGTGTGTATTATTCATATTATATAATATTACTATATTAAGAATCTCTTAATAAATTATAATTATTACATTAATAAATATAGTTGGTGAGTATAATATAATATATTTAATTAATTTTAATTTTATACGTACTAAATTGATCAACACTCCTTGTATAATTACAGGTTGTGAGTATAAATTTTAATGACATCTATTCGTTGAATTATAAATTAATAATAAACACTTTATAAATTATAGTATGTGAGTATAAATTTCAATAACATTTATTCGTTGAATTATAATTTAATCAACAATCTAATTTATTGCATAAATTACAGTATGTGAGTATAAATTTCAATGATATTTATTCGTTGAATTATAAATTAATCAACACTCCAATCGATTGCATAAATTACAGGGTGTGAGTATATGTTTCAATGATATTTATTCGTTGAATTATAATTAACACTCCAATCTATTGCATGAATTACAAATTATAGCATGTGAGTATAAATTTCACAATCGATTTTTTAATAATTAATCAACACTCCAATCGATTTTTCAATGATATTTATTCGTTGAATTATAAATTAACACATAAATTACAGGATGTAAGTATAAATTTCAATTATATATTTATTCGTTGAATTTTGAATTAATCACATCAATCTATTGCATAAATTGCAAATTATAGGGTGTGAGTATAAATTTCAATGATATTTATTCATTGAATTATAAATTAATTAACACTTCAATCGATTGCATAAATTACAGCTCGTGAGTATGAATTTCAATAATTAATCAACACTCCAATCGATTTTTCAAATGATATTTATTCATAAATTAATTAATATTCCAATCGACTGCATCAATTATAAATTTCAGAGTGTGAGTATAAATTTAATGATATTTATTCGTTGAATTTAAATTAACCAACACTCAATCGATTACGTAATTACAAATTACAGGGTGTGAGTATAAATTTTAATGATATTATTCCTTAAATTATAAATTAATAAACGCTCTAATTAATTGCATAAATTTCAGTATGTGAGTATAAATTTCAATGATATTATTCTTTGAAGTATAAAATTAATCAATATCCAATCGATTGCATAAATTACAAATTACAGAGTGTGAGTATAATTTCAATGATATTATTCATTGAATTATAAATTAACATTCTAATCGATTGTATAAATTACAGCTCGTGGGTATAAATTTCAATGATATTTATTCTTTGAATTATAAATTAATACTCTAATCGATTACATAAATTACAAATTACAGGGTGTGAGTATAAATTCATTGATATTTATTCACTGAATTATAAATAAATTAACACTCCAATCGATTGCATAAATTAAAATTACAGGGTGTGAGTATAAATTCAATGATATTTATTCGCTGAATTATAAATAAATTAACACTCCAATCGATTGCATAAATTAAAATTACAGAGTGTGAGTATAAATTTCACTGATATTTATTCTTTGAATTATAAATTAATACTCTAATCGATTGTATAAATTACAGTTCGTGAGTATATATCTCAATGATATTCATTAATTGAATTATAAATTAATTAACACTCCGATCGATTGCATAAATTACAAATTACAGCGTGTGAGTATAAATTTCAATGATATTTATTCATTGAATTATAAATTAATTAACACTCCAATTGATTTTTCAATGATATTTATTCGTTAAATTATTATAAATTGATTAACACTCCAATCGATTACAGAGTGTAAGTATAAATTTCAATGATTTATTCGTTGTATCATAAATTAATCAATACTCTAATCGATTGCATAAATTACAAACTATAGAGCGTGAGTATAAATTTCAATGATATTTATTCATTGAATTATAAATTAATCGACACTCAAATTGATTGCATAAATTACAGTATGTGAGTATAAATTTCAATTATATTTATTCGTTGAATTATAAATTAATCAACACTCCAATCGATTGCATAAATTACAGTTTGTGAGTATAAAAATTTTAATGATATTAATTCGTTTATTATAAATTAATCAACACTCTAATCGATTGCATAAATTACAGTATGTGAGTATAAATTTCAATGATATTTATTCGTTGAACTATAAATTAATCAACATTCCAATCGATTACATAAATTACAAATTATAGAGTGTGAGTATAAATTGCAATGATCTTTATTCGTTGAATTATAAATCAATCAATACTTCAAGCGATTTTTCAATAATATTTATTCATTAATTAACGCTAATCGATTGTATAAATTACAATTACAGAGTGTGAGTATAAATTTCAATGATATTTATTCGTTGAATTATAAATTAATTAACGTTCATAAATTACAGGATGTGGGTATAAATTTTAATGACATTTATTCTTTGAATTATAAATTAATTAACATTCCAATCGATTGCATAAATTACAAATTACAGCGTGTGAGTATAAATTTCAACGATGTTTATTGTTAAATTATAAATTAATTAACACTCCAATCAATTACATAAATTACAAATTATAGAATGTGAGTATAAGTTTCAATGATTTTTATTAATTGAATTATAAATTAATCAACACTCCAATCGACTGCGTAAATTACAGTATGTGAGTATAAATTTCAATTACCGTATTACCGCGAAATAGCGCACACCTGCGCGGTATTTCGAGTACGCTATTTCGAAATCAACCTAGTTTTTATGAAATTCGGTGCTTTGACTAACTATGTAGTGCGTCATTTACTATTTGT